AAAAAAACAATGTGTTATGAATTAAAGGGACCCTTTGATAGTTAGATGACTGTAATAATCACTTCTTTATTTCAGTTTATATATCTTCATGAATTAATACAGGCGCTTAAAAGAATTGCATATATTTTTACAATATATTAACCTAGGCTTAATTTTGGATCTGATTACTGTACAAAACAGCCAAAAATACTAATCTTCTAAATAAGCCAATGAGCTCTAAATCTAAACAGATGCGTGGATGGAAGCTAACCTGCAGGTCAAGCAGCTCATCCTCAGACTTCTGCAGCTTGTTGGTTGCCTCTTCCAGCTCGTCCAGTCTTCTCCCCAGACTCTGCAGCTTGTGCCGTAAGTGGCGGTGCGTCATGTCTTTATGATCCGACATGGCTGCAAACCTTAGAACGGATTCTTAGTCCAGCTTATATGATAGCAGAATTCCTGGACTTCCACATCTGCGTAGCAACGATAGCAAGACCCACTAGTGCTCCTCTGCTCCTTTTGTCAGCCAGTATTGTTCCGGATGTCCAACTGTACGTTTAGGTCTCAAACTCTGCCTTTAAATGGTGTTTAGCAGACAAATCTGTCATCTGTAGGAGAGAAAGAGAGGAAATGAGGCTTAGTCATCCATGATTTGTCAATGACAGTTGAAATTCCAAAAAGTAGCTTCAAGCAATAAAAATATGAGTCAAGAGAAGCTGACTTAACCATGTTTCACACCCTGTTACCAAAACAAGAAAGCTAAACGTAAAATCAATTCAACAATTAATCAATTTCAGTTGAACAAGGCAATAATATTAATCATTGGACTTCCAAAGTAATATTGAATAATTAAAGTGATTATGTTTTTTTTTTTCCCTCTATCAGCCATGTTGGATGAAGGCGGGACCTTTGAGAAATAGGTCAATTTTTTCAGAAGATCAGTCAAGCAAAGCAAACAAATCAATCCAGGAGGCCACTGCGACAAACAAAAGTAAAGCAGAGAACCTAACTTTAACCTTAAAGTGTGACTTACACCCCATGTGATAAAATAACCCCGCCTCCCAGACAAGTTTATAAAAAACTCTTTAAAGTAGTAGTAGTAAATGCCAGGCTCACCAGGGTCCCTATAACTGGCTGGCCAATCACAACGCTGAGATGTGTTTTAAATTTCTGGATGCAAAGCGGGCGAGGTTTTGAGTTTGTGACAACAAAGCTGCGCAACGCTGGAGAAGGCGCAACAAGGAAGATGGCAACAACTGTTGAACAGTAGCATGCACTTCGCTTCATTGAAAGTTAAAAGTTCTCTTTTCTGTTGCTGTTTTTAAATAAAAATAAATTTTAAGATCATTTGAGGTGAGAATATTATACTTTAAAGTGCGTGATTTTAATGCGTAATTAAAACTATTTCCGAAGTTGAGAGGACCGCTGCAACCAGTGGAGCTCCGAGGCTAACAGCAGCCCGTCTGCAGCGGCCCTCTCTTGGCATAGTCGTGTGTGAAGGACCGCTGGCTCTGATGGCGATTTTTGACTAAGCTTTGTGTTACGGCCCAAGGCCTTTCCTAAGTCCTTAACAAGTGGAGCTTCTAATTGGTGCTGATTGGGAGTGGAGGCAGCTAGCCAGACTGACAACAGCTTAATCTTAAGGAGCACCATCTCCATCTACCAGAGGCCCAAACCAAGCTCCACTGCAGCCCAGGTCAGATGATCAACCCTGACTGGTAGCAGATCAGCTCAGACCGGACCAGCTTGGAGGAGCTCGGCTCGTTCACCACCACCTACTTCTCTCTTTCCCTCTCCTCTCCAACCATTTATGTTTTTTTGTTAAATAAATCCCTCTTTAAGTCATACCCATGTGTGGATTCCCTTTAATTGGTTGTGGTCCAGGAGCCAGGCCATAACAGTTTCATAACACAATCAGTTTTAGAAGGATCAGACTTGGAGTTTTCATTGAAACGTGAGCAGGAAGAGGCTCTACGCTCATTCATTTTTAAGAAGGACC